CCGGGAAGCCGGAAGGGCCCGCAGCGCGCCAGCGCTCGTGGGTGGGTGTGAGCAGGTGGCCGTGGGAGTCTGCCGGGCGTGCCAGCAACTGTGCCAGGAGCGGCTGGCACGGGCTCGTGCCCAGGAGGCGGGCAGCTGCCAGCCCCCCGCTCGTGCAGTGAGGGGGGTGAGGACCCCCCCCAACCGGGGTTCACATGGCCTCCTCCCGCACCCCCACCAGCCCCTGGGGCTGGGGATCCCCCGGAGGACAAAGGAGGAGGAGGAGGGAGCCCTGCTGGAGCAAGCTGGGGGAAGTGGAGAAGGGAGCTACACATAACCACTGCTCAGCCAGGCTGCAGCAGGACCCTGCTCCTGGCCTCTCAGATCAGTCCCTCCCTTCCAGCCCCCACCCCACCAGGAACTTACTGGGCCAGGGCCTAGACCAGATGGGAGTAGCGCCACCCCTCCTGATCCCACCCCTCAATAGACAGGCTGCTCCAGCCCCTAAGGGAGAAGGGAAGTCCCCATCCACTGCGCTCCTCCCCACTAGGCCTGTGGACAGGAATGGGAGGCGCCTAGGCCTGGCCGGGGAGCTCCCAGTGGAGCTGGCAGCCAGGAAACACAAAAGCAGGCAGAACAACTCCAGGGGCGCTAAGTGAAAGGAGCACCAGGACTCAGCAGTCTGGAAGGCTTCCCGCAGGAGTCCAGGGCTAAGGGAAAGTGGGGCTGGAGCATCTGTGAGGAAGTGGGAGGCCCTAGCCAGATATGTACACTCTTGGGACACTTCAGAGGAAGGGGGGACCTCCTGTCCAAACTCTGATCCCAGGCCTGGAGACCCTCCGCTCTGAGGAAAATATACCTCACCCCTTTGGTGGGGTTCCCAGCACTTAACCCAGCCTCTCTTTAAGCCTCAGACTGGTGTGGGTGTCCTGAACCTGCTAGTGGTCTTGCCTCCTCCAATTCCTGTCCTCAGCACCACTTGACTACCTCCCACATCACAGATGGGACCACAGGGCAAAGGCCAAGCATGCTGAAATGGCCCACTGCACCTTTCCCATACCACCTCCCTGCTATGCCTAGGAACCATCCCCCAAATCCAACATGCACAACTCCACATCCCTGCTTTGGGTATGTAGTTAAGACCTCTTGGAAGACACTCTCACATTCTCTCCTCCCCCATGAAGTCAGACCAGATCAAGTGCCACTTCCTCCACGAGGACCTCCCTGGCTCCCCAGGGTATCTAACCTGACGTCCCTGCACCCCTGCCCCCACTCCCAGCCTTTCCTGCCTGCAAAACCCAGGGCTGGGTGTGGAACTGGCTGAGCCCTGATGCATCCTGAAGGCACATCCAATGTCTTCCCCTTTGGTCCCCCCACAATATCTAACACAGGGTTTGGTTTGGTACACCCCAGGGATTCAAGTGCAACACTTTTGTGGAGGAGGGGAAGGAGGGAGGAACAATGTGCCCAGCTCCAGCCCTGGCACCTGTGCTATACCACCTCGCCTGTCAACCTGAGATGGGCTGAGATGGCTCCCCCGCCAGGCCCCTGGAGGAAATGACTGGGAATGGGGGAATGGATGCAGGGGCAGGAGGCTCCAGGAATGAGAGGGGAAGGAGGCTCCCTGAGGAGCTGGGAGAGGGGTGGATAGGAGGAGGACAGCCACTGAGGGGACAGCATGGGTGCCTGGGTGGTCTCTGCCAGGGTCGATGTTAGGAGCCCAAGCCTGAGGTTCCCTCTCCAATGTCCCAGCCTAGGACTTGGAACCCAGGTACAGGGAGAACCAGTGTGTCCCCAGCAGCGTGGTGCAGTGGAAACCGTATCCAAATGGCAGGCAGGAGACATGGGCCCTCATCCAGGGCCTGCCACTCACTGAAGCCCTGAGAAGAGTCCTATCCCCTTTCGGGGCCTCAGTGTCACAGTCTGAGAAATGAACGCATCAGACTAAATTATCTCTGGGCACATTCCCAAACACATTCTAGGATTTATACCTGCCCCTGTTCAAAAGCCTTCAGGGTACCCCTCCTACCTCCAGCTACCAGAGGGACACGGTTCAGAGGTTCTTTGGGGCCCTGGAGGGAGATACACCTGAGTCCCACTACTATGTGACCTTAGACCGTTCACTCCTCCACTCTAGACCTCAGTGCCCTCCTCTGTAAATGTTCACAGTAAAAACCACCTCAGGGACTGCTGAGAGCATTAAAGGAGATGTGTGGAGGTACCTGGCAGAGATTGTCCCCAAGACCCTCAGTGAACTGCAATTTTCTCCTGGCTTCCAGCCTCATGTCCCCTCTTCCCATCTTTCCCCATCCTCCCTAATCCATCAAACCGAGCTGGAGCTACACCTCCTGCAGGAAGCCCTCCTGGCCTACTCTGGCCCACTGCACTCTCCCCTGCATCGTCTGCACGATCCACTCATTTCTTCCCTCGTTCGGTAGACGTGCACTGATGGCTTCTTTCAGTATACATGCACTGGTGTCAATCTCTATGCTGGGTGCTGCGGGTACAGAATGACTCCAACACTGCTACTGTCTTCCAAAGGCGGGGTGGGGAGGGGAAATGAGACGGGACACAAATGACTAAAACCCATCACAGGCATGGAGCAGGCCAGAGAAGGAGGAATCCTAAGTACTAAAAAGGGCTAGGGAAGGCTTCCTGGAGCAGGTATCTGAACTCTGTGCCTCTGAGGACAGTGAATACATCTACAGGGAGAAGTGGAAAGTGGGCCAGGGCATGGGAAGCAGGGAAGGAGGTGGGAGCAAAGCCCAAGGGCAGGACACACAGGAGGAATAAGTGTTCTGGTGGGGTTGAGCCCAAGGGGATCAGAGACCGAATGGGAAAGGAGACCCATGTGTACTCCTCCAGCCTGTGTCCCTGCCCCATAGTGACAGGCACAAAACCTGAGAGCCACGGGGCTCTCAGGTCAGGACACCCTGACCCCGACAGTGCTGTCACTGGGCATATAGAACTGTCCATGTCCACAAGCCTCCCCCTCCTCTTCTGGCACCCCACCTTCTGCTGACCCTGTTTGCAGCCACCACTGGGCATAGTCCCCTCCCTTGATATAGGCATGCCTCCCTCACAGAGGCCCCCTCTCCCATAGGGAGCCTGACAGCTCATCCCCTAGGCACAGGATGCCCTCCAACCTCCTCTCTCCCAAAGGCATAGACTATCCCCATTCTTCAACAAGATGGCCAGAGGAGGAGCTGGGTCTGGAAGCCACAGTCCAATTCAGCCCCTGTCCTCTCCCAAGATGGCTCCCCCCTTTCCACTGACTGGCACTGAGGCGTCCCTGGGGTGCCCCTGCCCCTCCTCCAACTCCTAAATGCATCTGGGCTCAGAAAGCCAGGGAAGTGGAAGACAGGCAGCCTGGGTGGGCAGGAACAGATCCTCACCCCCCCCACACACACACACCCATCCTTAATACCCTACCTTCACACCAGCAGGGGTCATCACCAGCCCCCCATGCTGATCCAGGTAAGGGAGGTAGGCAGCAGCTGCCCTATGGAGAACTCAGATCTCAGGTCACCTGCCGAGTTCCCCACCCCAGGCTAGTTGGCGCCCTGAGGTGAACTCCTGGCACCACAGGAAGAACTGTGGGTCCATGGTGGCACTCCTCACCCTGGGGCCAGCTCAAGGAAGGGCGGTGGGAGAGATTTGGGAGGGAAAGCAGCCACTGGCCTGAAGTCATTATTTCAGCTCTTTAAGGAGGGTGTCCTGGTGAGAGGATAAAACAAGAGTAACACAAAGCAAACTCGGGGGAGCAAGGGGGGCTCCCCAATGTCCGTGGCCTGGGAATGGGTTCCTCGGCTGTGCCCCCCAAGGACGGAGTGGGGATGTTCCTCGCGGACGCCTCAGAGCGGCAGTCCCTTGCCACCCCACCAGACCTCCCACCCCGCATCTTTCCCCGCAAGGGAGCACGCACACAGCTGCTCCCAGCACGCCCCCACCTGTCCGTAGGCCAACCCCGCGCCGTGGGCGCACCTTTCCTGACCCCTGGCGGTGCCCCAGAGCCCCCCTCCCGATAGCCCTTCCAGAGCCTCGACGCACCTAGCAGCCCCTAGAAGCCCCAGTGGCGTCCCCAGCCCCCCTTCCCAGCCGGACGCCCCACCTTCCAGCCGGCCGAGCTGTTGCTGTCGCCTTTATCCTTGAAGTAGGGCACATAACGGACCATCCAGTCGTAGATCTGCGAGAGCGTGAGCCGCTTGTCCGGGGCGCTCTCGATGGCTTTGGTGATGAGGTCGGCGTAGGACAGGTTCCCCCACGCGTTCCGCCGGGAGCTCTTCGCTTTCCGCAGCGGTCCGACCTCCGCGCCCAGCGGCGGCGCTGGGGCCATCGCTGGGGCCGTCGCCCGGCGCTCCGGCCCGCAGTCCTCGGCGCCCTCAGCCACCCCTGCGCTCAGCGCTCCGTCCTCGTCGCCGGCCAAGCC